GACAGAAGGAAATCATTCCACAGTGACTGAGTTTACTCCTGCTGGATTAACAAAGAAATCGGAGCTCTGGTTGCCCCTCTTCTTACTCTTCTTAGGAATCTATGTGGTCACAGGAGTGGGGAACCTAGGAATGGTCATCTTGATTAGATTCAATTCTCACCTGGACACTCCCATGTACTACTTCCTCACTTGTCTATCCTTTACTGACTTGTGTCAGTCCACAGTCATAACCCCCAAAATGTTGGTAAACTTTGTGACAGAGAAGAGCATCATTTTCTTCCCTGAATGCATTACTCAGCTGTACTTCTCTGTTTTTACTATTGCAGAATATCACATGTTGGCTGCAATGGCCTATGATTGCTATGTTGTCATCTTTAACCCTTTACTTTACAATGTTACCATGTCTTATCAAGTCTGTTCCTGGATGGTAGTTGGTATGCATGGCATAGGCTTGATTGGTGCCACAGCCAACACAGTTTGCATGGTAAGACTGGTTTTCTGGTATGCTGATATAATAAACCATTACTACTGTGATCTTTTTCCATTACTGGAGTTTTCCTGCTCTACTACTTTGATCAATGAGGTAGTAGGTCTGTGCTTCAGTGCATTTAACATTATTGTCTCAGCCCTGACCATCCTTGGCTCTTACATCTTCATCATTCCAGCATCCTCTACATTTGCTCCACTGAGGGCAGGTCCAAAGCCTTCACTACTTGCAGCTACCACATCTCTGCTTCTGCTTTCTTCTTTGGTTCTCCAGCATTCATGTACCTGCAGCCATCCTCAGTCAGCTCCAGGGACCAAGGGAAAGTGTTCTCTGTGTTTTACACCATTATTGTGCCTATGTTGAACTCCTTTATCTACAGTCTAAGGAATAAGGATGTCAAAGTTGCCTTTAACAATTTCCTTGAAGGAAGTTTCCTGTGAAAGAGTATTTTTCTTTAGCATAAATTTATCATTTCTGGAGGTTTGGTATGGAAATAGGCCAGAGACACTAATGAACATACATAAGTTAAATCATAAAATTTTTGATAGTGCTTGAGTATTTGGCAGTGAGCCATCAAGGAGTACAGCTTGATTCACAGAGCCAGACACATGGAGACAGTACCTCTTTGGGATACCCCATAACCCATTTCCCTGTAGTAAACTGCATTATCTCTAACAATTTTGGAGAAAACTTTAAATACCCCTATGTGACATTTAATGAATTATATGACAGAATAATGACATAGTATAAAATAGAATTTTAATATGTAAATAATTTACATGGCACATGTTTTAACTGTTTCTCAACATTTCATTTTTATATTTAGAAGTAAAAGTCTTCATCTCTCCTGCTTGCTTAGGAAATTATTGCAGGTCTTTGAAAATATCCAAAATAATTTAACTTAGAAGCTGAATAAAATTTGATTTTACTCAAATTAAAATATTCCAAAAATTCCACTTTACTGAATACATTATAATATCTGAATAGAGTTAGTATATGTTACTGAAAAATACAAACTTTCAAATCTTACATTTCTCTACTTTTTAAATTTCCCTTATGAGGAATCATCTTGGACAATTCCTTAAGTATAAGTCTTAAAAACTTCCCGAAATATAGAATTTTTAAATGTGCTGTCATTAAACTTCCTAGAGCCCAAACATTGTCTCTGATATTCCTGTTTTTAATTCATAATCTAATCAGAAGAATGAGTGACACATATGAGGCATTATTAAATATTCAAGAACCACTGGGGAAATGGGAAGTTCCAGTTCTCTGAGGAAAAGATTCTAGTGGGAGGTCATTATCATTGTTTGTTTCTAACCTGAATCTTATTACTTATCCTGCACATACAATCATAATATCAACCAACGTTTGCAGAGGAACAAATGGGTTTGAGCATCAGCTTCATCAAAGATATTGATTAGTGACTGAAAGGATAACTTGTGGAGTCATTTTCTCCCATCCTCAAAGTAATTTTTTGCCTCCAGAGCAAAAAAGGAGAAAAATATCCCAAACTGAACTCTCTGAGAAGAAGGAGGGGTATGTCTGAATCATAGACTTGACTTTCAAAGTATTAGAAATCCCTTCTGTAGTCTCTCCCGCCATGCAAACAGATGCACATGACTATTTATATCTTTACCTGTCCTCATTCAAAGAGCCTCACTCTGTGCTGATCAAAGTCTCTCTTATCATCTCCTTGTGCCCTGATGAGCAATGTCACAAAACACTCCTACTTGTTTCTCTGTTTCAACTAAGGCAACATGAAGACTTTGTTCACTTGCTTTAAATCTGTATTAACCCTAAACTTCTTTCAACAATTTGATTAGCATACTACTACTGATACTTGATATAAGCAAGGCAATATGCAGTTTTATGTTGAATTTACAATTCAGTGTAGAAGAAAAGTTGGTTAATGTCTCATAATAACAAATTCAGAATTAAAAATCTACTACTTGTAAGCATAAGAAACATTTGCGGGCACATAGAAAATGGTTTTATTCACTGGGAATATTATTATTAAAGATCTTAATTAAAAGATCTTAACTGTTACATAGAATTGCATCAAATAAAGTTGCTAAAAGAAGAGATAATCTAAAGGAAACTTATGACTTAGAACTGAGGGCTTAGCACATGTCCTTTTCTGTAATACTCATGTCATGAGATAGTTGTTGGATCATAAAATAGAAAACTTTTCTTTTTGTTATCAAATGATAACTTATCTTTGTGCAACATAGATATTACTTTAAACTTTATCTGAAAAAATGGAAAATATTGACTACATAAGAAGTTAATACCTAATAAAATTGTGAATCTTTATATTATTATAACTGCTTTGTGGGAGGAATCAACACTGTGCTGAGGAGAAAAGAAACAAACAAACAAAACCCCAACCATCATTATGGGAATGCAAATGAGTATAAATAAGAGATATTTCAAAGAGAAACTCAGGAGATTACAATAAAAAGTATCATTGATATGTATTAAATTCATATTTAAATTTTGCAACTGTAAATCTTTTAATTTAATATTTGTATGAGACTAAATTTTCACATATCTATTTTCCAGAAGCTTGGAGAGTGGAAGAAATTTTCCCAATATCACATAGCAAATAGGCAGTTGAGGTGAGATTTGTATTTGTACTGTCTAATATGAGGACTCATTTGTATTATGAAATAATAAAAAAAAGTCAAGAAAAATAAATTTTAAAAGGGTGGATTGGGCATAAGAAGGAGTAATAGAGGGGATGAAAATGATCAAAGTATATTATGTGCATGTCTAGAAACACCACAACGAACCCCTACATGTACAATTAATATGTGATAATAAGGTGTGGGAAGGGGAACTATAAATTCATGAAGTGTTGGAAGATGATTTGGCACTCGTATCAATCCAGTTCTGAGTCCTTGAACACTTTCTGTACAGATCATACAGGCTGTACACTCACATTTCTGGATGTAATGAAACGTTATCTGATTGTTGGAGAGTTTGTCTTGATTTTGAAACCACACATTTTTCCTAATTATTTTGAGCAATTAGTTTAATTTCCTCCTTTGGAGACCTATACAGTGAGTTCACCTATACAGTGAATTCAGCATTACAGCAAAACAGTCAGATATAAACATCATGTGCTACGTGTATTTTTCACTGTGTTACATAATTTTCCCAATTGTTCCAGCATTCTTCAAATGACAATATTTCTCGAACATTTTTTTCTGAAATTACTCAATTTTTCTACAATCCAAATAAAACATGTACTCTAATTTGAAAACAGTAATCCAACTGTTGCTTGAGTATTAAGACCATGCATTTCTGTTTTCTAAAATATACTTGATTCCTTTGCAAATATAAACTAAAGATATATAAGTCTTTTAGAAAAACCACATCTCACCTTTGACTAGTATGGATTTGGACTAAATTTTTTATTGCATTTTCTATGCATCCATATGCCAACCATTTTTAAATTCTATGGGAAACAAAATACATGATCATAAAAAGTGAATACTGAAGAAGATATATTTTTAAAATTTTATTCTATTTTTATTAGCCTATTTTTGTTGTACTGAGGTACCTTGTGACATTTACAAAAGTGCTTACAGTATATCTTAGTTAGATTCACCTTTTCCATGTAAAAGATATGCAATATTTGTCTTCCAAAACACTTCTTAGTTTTTGGAATGTGAGTAGTTTTCTGAGTTCTACCAATTTGACCATGAAATCCAATTAATGTAGATAAGTAATAGTACACTACTTCTCTGGCCAGAGTGGTGGAATCTGTGACTTAAATGAACACCATCGTGTTTCTCGCAAGGATTATTCAAATTAGGAGAGGGAAAGACAGGCCCTCAATCTTGAAAAGACTGGTGAGGTATAAGGATGCTACCGGCCAAGCACTTATGTTCTTCCTTTTGTGGTAGCTGGACTGCGTATAAGAATTTTGGTCATACACACCAGCAGTCTCAGATGGAAAGCTGCTGTGCCCATAGTTGCCCAGTCCTTCGGGTATTTAAGTTGAAATTCTAGTAATGAAAGTAGCTAAGACTAAGAAAACTATTACTTTTGCAGATTATTGACATCTGAATAAATCATAGAAAGCATTTGTTAATCTTTACTCTGAATCAAATGAAAATTGAATTATTATGCCACTGGAAATGTGTAACATTGATATTGTCTATGCAATATGAAAGAGAAAGAACAGAGTCCTCAAAAATAACTTTCCTGCTAATTTAGGTAAAAATTCAAAATTGGTACTTTCTTTGAAAAGACTATGAACTACTTAAATTTTAAGGTCATTAATGCCTGTATTTCCTTATCTAGCCCAGCAAAGTGATTTTCCCAGACTAAACACAGAAACTCAAGCTTTTCTTGCATTAAGTATCTACTATGAAGATGGACAAAGTAATGATCTCCTCAGGCTATCTCCTTGTGACACACACACAGGAACACACAGATGTGCACAAAAGCAAAGCTAACAAATCTGCTCATTTTCTACTTTTTGAAAAAATTCTGACAGGTAATGGAGCCTGGAAATCACTCTACTGTGACTGAATTCATTCTGGCTGGGCTCTCAGAGAAACCAGAACTCCAGCTGCCTCTCTTCCTCCTCTTCCTGGGAATCTATGTAGTCACAGTAGTGGGGAACCTGGCCATGGTCACACTGACTGGACTCAGTTCTCCCCTGCACACCCCCATGTATTATTTCCTCAGCAATCTGTCCTTCATTGACCTCTGCCATTCCACTGTCATTAACCCTAAAATGCTGGTGAACTTTATGATGGAGAAAAATATCATATCCTACCCTGAATGCTTGACTCAGCTCTACTTCTTTTCACTTTTCGCTATTGCAGAGTGTCACATGTTGGCTGTAATGGCATATGACCGCTATGTCGCCATTGGTAACCCCTTACTTTACAATGTCATCATGTCTTCTCACCTCTGCTTCTGGCTCACATTGGGAGTTTATGTTTTGGGTATCATTGGGGCAGCAATTCATACAGGCTTTATGTTGAGACTCTTTTTATGTAAGACCAATGTGATTAACCATTATTTCTGTGATCTCTTTCCACTCTTGGAATGATCCTGCTCTAGTACCTATATCAATGAATTATTGATTCTGTTGTTAAGTGCCTTTAATATCCTAACTCCAACCTTAGCCATCATTACCTCCTACATCTTCATCATTGCCAGCATCCTACGTATCTGCTCCACTGAGGGCAGGTCCAAAGCCTTCAGCACCTGCAGCTCCCACATCTCTGCTGTTTCTGTCTTCTTTGGTTCTGCTGCATTCATGTACCTACAGCCATCCTCAGTCAGTTCCATGAACCAAGGAAAAGTGTCTTCTGTGTTTTATACCACTGTTGTACCCATGCTGAATCCCCTGATCTACACTCTGAGGAATAAGGATGTCAAATCTGCCCTAAAGAAAATTCTGAACAGTGGATCACATTCATGAACAGAATCAAAGTTGTTTTGTCATATAGAAACAGACCTTTGATTTTCCTAGACCTGTAATTTGTTAGGTTTATTTTTGAAAGTTTTGGAATATCCATAATTCTTTCCTATGTAAGAAATCTCAGAAATTTCTCTTCAGTATACTTTCTTATTATGCCAATAACCTCTTCTGGAGAAATACAAAAAATAAAATCAAAACATTTTGAGATTAAAAGGAACCCTGATTTTATTATTTAATAATAATTCATTTATGATGGTGATAGTGGTAACACATATTACTGAGATTTTATGAAATACCAAACATTGAGACTAGAAATCTAAATAGATGATCTTATTTAATACTGTGCTCCATCAGCACAAGTCATGGTGTTGTTGCTCTTTTAAAAGATGAAAACATTATTCTTATTTATGTGGGTGAGTGCTGATGAAGGTCTTGAACGTAACTGAGCCAAGAGAATTTGGTTTTAGGACAATTTCAAAATGATAGTTGGTCTATGGAAGCAATTGTGGTGTAAGCTTTAAAAAAATTCTCTTCTACATGTGAATCATTCCCAACATGGCTGTGTTGATGACTTCTAGATAACATCCATGCTCTTCCCACTTTTATTTCACCTGAGATGATGAAAAAAACAAAATATTTTAAACCTTGATAATCAAGGGAAAATGGTGCAAAACCACAATCACCATGTTGTTACCTCTAGCTTTTTCCTTCATGATGTCCTTTCCTGATTTTAAGGGTGTATATTATAAATCTGAATAGATGTAGTTTCTGCATCAGCTCATAGATGCTGCATGATTAGTCTTTCTTTCTGCAAAAGGATGTAGGCAACCACTATTTCTGGGATCTTCCTTCCTTCTTAAATCTCTCTTGATCATGAGAGATTTAAGTCTATGTCAATGACTTGCTGATTCTATATTTTGGCACATTTACCATCTTTGTCCCGAACTGAAGCATCCTTAGTTCTTACATCTACATTATTGTCAGTATCCTCTATATTTAATCAACTGACAGAAAGTCTAAAGACTTCTGTAATGCTGCTCTCATCTGTTGGTGGTTGGGATACTTTCTGACTCTTCAGCATTCACGTACCTGCAGCCATCATCGGCTTGACAGTTCAAGGATATATGTACTCTGTGTTTTACACTTTTTTATTATGCCAATAACCTCCTCTGGAGAAATACAAAAAATAAAATCGAAACATTTTGAGATTAAAAGGAACCCTGATTTTATTATTTAATAATAATTCATTTATGATGGTGATAGTGGTAACACATATTACTGAGATCTTACGAAATATCAAACATTGAGACTAGAAATCTAAATAGATGATCTTATTTAATACTGTGCTCCATCAGCACAAGTCATGGTGTTGTTGCTCTTTTAAAAGATGAAAACATTATTCTTATTTATGTGGGTGAGTGCTGATGAAGAAAGCACCAGAAAGAACACTACTGTGAACAGAAATGAGAAGAAGATGATTTATTAAGCTTGAGCCATTGACCATTATATTGTCGGAATGGTTCTTTTAATTTTAGTGCACGTGTAGTTTTTTTGTAATTTGGTGGGTATGAGTTGATATTATTTTCTCTCAACATGACTTTAAAAATTTTTATCAATAGGACTTTCATGTGAATGTTTTTCAGATTTCATATAATTTTCATGTGAGAAAGTATTTTTATAAAATATGATCTTGCAACCTTTGTTTTAAACAATTAAAGATGTAGGGGTGAAAAATGTTCATTGTGAACATCAGTGTACCTGATTTAAAAATAAGAACATTTTTCTAAAGCCATAATAATGTTCTTACATTTAACCTTTTGATGTCACTTTGCATGGGGGCTTTTATCTTACAATGAAGTTGAGAGGCAGATTGGAAGAAATAAGAAGAATGATATGGGGACATAGACCAATACCAACTTCCTCTCCTTATCACTATTCTGCTATAAATTTTTAATTTATCTCAACCATAACATAAATATCACCTGTGAACAGTGATTACCAACTTCCTTTTTTTGACCCAATTGAAAAATACCATAAGTCACAACTATATGATACCTCCAATCTCGTTTTTGCTTAATCTTAACCTTTCCAATATTTTCATTTTTTTGTTTGGAATCCATCTTTTGCCTTCTTTCTCTTATGTAGGCAACCTAATCAGAACTTTAAAGCTTGATTACAGACACATATATATTATTTGGTACTTGTCATGTGTTAACCCAGGACAAACCTTCAGAGCACGGTAATCAGAACTGCTCAGGTGATTGTGCAAATGAGGTGTTTGCTACCCAGAAGTTGGGAAAACACAAACTGAAAATTAAAGTAGAAGATGCTGACCATACTGCAGAGGAGTTTCAAGGTGTCCTGAGATTGAGGACTAGGTGCTGGCTTCTCAGCATTGATGATTGCAGAATGTTGGGTACCAGTGACTCCCAATACCATTGTTAGTGCAATTTGCAAGAGGCAAGAAAAATTTGGCAATGAAATTTTCAGAAAGAAGAAAAAGTAACTGTGTTCTGATTTGAGATTATGATGTTTGTAAGTAATCACTGTGTAAAGTCAGGGAAATATTCATTAATACCTTCATGTATTCAATTATTCACAAAATATTTTTAAACCTCTGACAATGTGCCAACCACATTGCTAATTCCTGAAGATACAGAAAATCTCTGGTCTGTCACTTATGTAGTGGCTAACAGTGTAACTACACACTGTTTAGAAATTAGTTTCTGGGTATACAGTATGAAGTTCCAGTCAGTTACAATGAGTTGGAGAATGTTTCCATGATGGCTTTAGTTTTAGATGAGATTTGAAAAGAAGTAAATATTTATTAGTAAACTAAAGAAAATGAATTGATAAAACTCCCTCATGTAGAAGGATAGACAACTGAGTGAGTATGACATCTTTGATTCTACACTCATACTAGAAAATCTGCCTTCCCTGCTGGATGAAATCATGACACTGTGTCCATGACAGATCCACAATGAGCAATTTAAATATTGGATTTGATATAAAATATCAAACATAAAATTACCTGATTTGAGACAAGTTGAATTGTAGGAAATAAGGCATCTACTGATGGTGTAAATAGATGTCAAGTGGAGAGAGATTCAAGGAGAGAGGGGTGTAGAGCACGAAGGATAACACAACATTTGGTCCATCTTGAGTTTCTAGAGTCCTTTGTTGGCAACCTTTTATGACTAGTAACTCCTATTGCTCTTTTTTAAATATCCCCTTCCCTCTACTCCAACTCTTAAATAATTTTAATCACTTAATTAAGACATTTTCACAAATGCATACAATGTAATTCTATCATACTCTCCACCACTACCACCAACATTTCTTTATCTTGACTACTGCAACATAACAAGTTTTCAGATGGGAAAATGCAGACTCCAACTTTATTCTCTTTAAGTTTCTTTTAATTATTGTGGGTGTTCATTTTCACAAGGATTTCATGATCAGATCTGGATGTTAACATCTGCAATAATGGAAGGATAATAGGGAGCTTGAATTTCTAGATAAGTTTGGGAAGTACTGCTATTTTTGCAATATCTAGTCTTGATTCATGAACATAGGCTGTCTGTCCTTTTGTGTATGCCTTTTGTTCCTTTCAACAATGATTTGCAATTTCAAGTGTAAAGTTGCACATTTCTTTTCAGATCTTTCCTAGTTGTTTTATTATGTTTAATGATATTGCAAATAATTTCATATTATTTGATTTCCTTATAGATGCTGTATTGAACTGCCATGATGAACACTTGTTTCTTTTTCCCTGCTGTGGATGAGACCCAGAGCCTTCCTCATGCTGAGCAGTGCTCTCCCACTGAGCTACATCCTCAGCCCTGAACTTTTTAATTAGCTCCAATAGCTTATTTCAATGGATTTCTTATAATTTTCTATGCAATAAAGTAAATAATTTGCAAGTAGACATAGAATAATGCCTGTTTTCTAATTTGAAAGTTTTTAATCTAATCTTCTTGCATGATTGTCCTAACTAGAATCTCTAGTATAATGTTGAATAAAAGTGCAGGAACCATACATCTTGTTTTGTGCATTAACTTATGAGGAAAGTCAGTTCTTTTTTTTGATTGGGACTTTTTGTGCTCTTTTTTCAAAACCATACTTCATGTTTCCTCTTTCATTATGCAAATATTAATTTAACATTTTTCTAGAAGAATATAAATGTTGTAGGAGTATCTTTGTTATTTATACAAATTCACAAACAGTACAATTAATTGTGAAAGGTCTTGGGTGTCTTTAACTCCATGGATTATTCAGTTCTTTTGTAGACGTTGCTCTTATTTAAAAATAAACTTTCTCTACAGAGGAGTTGAGAGGATTAGAAATAATGCAAGAAAATCTTTGTACACTCCATCAATATTATAAAACCTGTTTTTTGATTGTTCAAGGTTTGGGTGTAATAACCACTCTTATAGCACAGAACACAAATAGGGATAGTTCTATTTGATATTTATTCACATATCCCATATATTTGGGACCCTTATGTTTTGACTGCTAACTTGCATGAGAAGTTTCAGAGAACTGGAGTACCTAGCTAAAACACTTGAATTCTGTATTACACTCCAATGTGTGGTGGAACAATATATTTTAGTCTACATTTTTTTCTTCTCCTTCTACCTAGAATTCTCCAAAGAAAAATGGCAGTTATTTGGACAGTTACCAAGCTGATCCTCACTGGGTCATCAGAGAAACCAGACACCAGCTGACACTCTTTGTCCTCTTTGTAGTAATCAGTGTGCTGACAGTTGTGTGGATCCTGGGTATAATCACCCTGCTTGAGCTGTTTTCACATGCACACCCCTTTATACTATTTCCTAACGGTCTCTCCCATTGATCTCTGCCTTTCTACTGTCATTACCCCTTCAAAAATTCTGGTTAGCTTTCTGAAGGAAAAGAATATCATATCCTATGCTGAATGTAGTTTTTCATGTTTTTCTTACATCAGAATATCATACATTTACTACAGTAGCCTATGACCA